TTTCCCCCTCATCCTCTCCTTTATACTCTACTCGGCTACACCCAGTCAGGACCAACTATCGCTGGGTTGGGCCTGCGCTGTCTGATGGGCCGAGGCTCCGGTGCGGCAATAGCTTCTGTTGCTTACGTTGTTGGACGATTGTCAGAGCTAACACAAGGTTGGCCTTGTGCTTTCATTACTCCAGGTATCCAGGGAACCATGGAGATGCAGGGTGTGTTTGTTTGAGAAATAAGTGGTCCATCATTTTCTCACTCCTCACTTTTGTATTTGGTTCGTGGAATAGAATGAATTGATCCATCATTATCATATTCCTCATAAGCTAACAATTAGTATATGCACGAGAAATAAGTTGATTCCACCAAAATTCATGGGATGAACTCATGATACATCACCATGAGGTGACTCCCCCCGAACCAAACACACCCGAAATTCAATTCAGCTAGTTGCAGCCGCTCCCTCGATTCAAATGCTTTGATTAATACGCGGAAGAACTGTTTGATGCAAGCGGCGTGGGGCCTTATTCAAAGATTAATTAAATTCACCAGCTACTGCCACACCTACTTGATTCAAAGACTTCTAATAGTCTTAAAAGATTCTAAACAATACAGTGATATAGAGCACACATGTTGAACTAGTAGCTCTAGTGTCATGTCATTATTTTACACTACGTGTCGACCGTATATTTAATAAAATAGGACTGAAACCATTAGGGCAGCTCCAACAATCGACTGTTAAGCCAACTTTAAATATTTTTCTCATATTTTAATAGACTAGAAAATATGCCCGTGCATTGTAATAGGAAAATAAAATAAAATTCTCAGTGGGCCAGATGGTTGGGCCAGATTAGAATGAGCTAGACGAAAAAAGAGACGAAGTTTTGTTCTTTAATATTAGGTATAGATTAAACAAGCATATCAAAAAAATAAAAACTATAACTAAGTAAATATGCATCTATTGTACATGAAATTTTTACCATACATCAATAGAAGACTACCATAAAAATTTCACTGCAAAGGGACTACGGAAACATCCTTTATCAGTTTATCAAAGAAGAACATAGATTTGCAACTATACCAAATATTTTATTCTAAAGCATGTAATATTATTTGTTTATTGTGTAGGTCTAGTCAAGAGGAGTTTAAAAAACTAGAGGGTGTTTGGGACTGTTACACTCCACGTTTTTTAGCTCCGCTTCATGTTTTTTGGCCAAACAAGTTTAGCTCCACGCACTTTGTTCAATGAAAAAAGTGGAGTTGTGAGAGCACCTAAAGGGGTGCTCTACAAACTCCAGGTTTTTGTGAAACTACTCCATGGTAGAGTTAGTTGATCAAAGTTCATGGAGTAGTTCCAAACACGCCCCTAGTTTCGCTATTTTATGATTTTTACGTGACTTTACACATAATTTACAAATTTGTTGTTTTAATAAAAAAAGAGAAAAAAGAAAAGTAGCCTACACTTGGGCCATGGCTCAGCCAGTCCACTGGCGCAAAAGGCCCACACGGCGGATTCCAACCCAACAGTAGGAGGCCAACATCGGCTGCACATTTTACATCAGGAATCCCTGACTTTCTCGAAATCAATTTAGATCCTTCCACCTTTTATTTCTCTCTTGTACTTTTTCACCTAGAACATTTCCTTCTCTTCTATTTCTTTTTCTCATCCTTCCGCCCGGACTACCAAACATAGGCGCCCGATTTCGGTCAATTTCCTGCCGGCAGCGGCCTGATCGGCGATGAGGAGCCCCAACCACGTGCGCATCTGGGGTGTCACCACTCGCCATGTGTACTCGCGGCGGTGCGACAGATGTGGCCCTGCGACGTTGCTTGGTCGGTTGAGCGGCTAAAAGGTCCTTGTGTGGTTTTGGTAATTGAGTGGCAACCTAGGTGGACTAATTGTGTTTATGTGAGTTACATAGGTGATTAGTCTATAGGTACATGTGTATGAGCAACATATGCCATGGAGGTGGAAATGGTTTGGAGATGTTGTAAAGCTCACACATGTGATGATGAAGGAGCTCATTGCACATGAGACATGATATTAAGTCATGTGATCAAGGTAGAGAAGATCAAGACATGACTTGGCTTGATGGACCGGTTGCAAGCGTGAAGGGCAAGTCGGAGGCTTTGGAGCGATGGACCGCGTGGCAGTGAAGCTTAAGCAAGACTTGGCGCCGATGGACGAAGGCAATGGTGAAAAGCAAGTGAAGTCAAGATCGATGAACCAATACGGTCACGTGATGATATGAAGTGGATCATATCATTTGGTGATTGGTTGGTGCATGTGTTGCATCAACAATGGAGGAGATGGAATGGAATGCGCAAGGCAAAGGTATAACCTAGGGCATTTCATTTCACCGGTCATAGGTGTGTAGAGAAGTTGATGACCGGGTTTAGAATAGATGGCTGTACTATCAAGAGGGGCAAACTTGTTTGTATATCGGTCATCTAGTGCCTCTCGAGTGATCTAACTTTGCATCGTCGCTAGGATCGAGTGGCGTGACAAGTTGAGTGGCTAACCCTTGAAAATGTTAGTGAAAATATGCTAGCACACATGCACAAAGGTGATACACATTGTGTTTAGCATTTGAGAGCGAGGGTTCAAAACTTCACCGGAGGAGTGTCCTGTACAAAAAAGACATGGTTTCACAGAGTGCACCGGACGGTGGTCACGTGGTGACCGGACTCTGGGGAGTAGCGTCCGGTCAATTATAAAAGAAGATGGTACTCTCGGCCTATGACCGGACGCAGGCAACCGGACGCTGGCCTCGGTAGGACCGGCGTGTCCGGTCAATGGCAGTAGTGAGCGCGCGGTCTCGGTCCTGTAACCGGATGATGGCGCGAAGAGTGACCGGACGCTCAGGGTCTGCGTCCGATCAGCGCTAACGTATGGTGACGTAGGCGGCGCTGGAGTTAGGCATGCGGGCGCAGAACTAATCGGATGCTGGTCTGTGTCCGGTCATGGTGGACCGGACGCGTCCAGTCAAAAAACAGAGGCTTGGGGAGCTCTCTGGAAACGACCGGACTCAGGCGTAGCAGCGTTTGGTCATTCACTGTGCTGCGTCTGGTCGCAACTTAACCATTGAGATCGGGCGCTTAGTATTTGAAGCTAGGGATGACGTGGCAGCCATTCATTGACGGGATGCTGGCAGGGTGCGTCCGATCGATACGACCGGAGCATCCGGTCACCCTGAGTTGTGCCCAGTGAAGGGGTACAACGGCTCTATTTTTGTGGGGGCTATAAATAGAAGGTGGTCTCGGCCATGGCTGGTGTTGAGCACCTTAGGGGACTTTGTGTCCATGCTTGAGAGTGCTTGGGAGCCCTCCATCTCACATATGCTTGATAGTGATCATTCGATTATGTGAAAGAGCGATTCTTGTGCGATTGCATCGTGAGGTTGCATCGAGTGGCACTAGGTGATCGAGTTGTAAGACGACGGTGCTTGTTACTCTTGGAGGTTGCCACCTCCTAGATGGCTTGGTGATGGTCTCCGTCGAAGCCCGCAAGAAGCTTGTGCGGTGCTCCGAAAAAGAGCTTTGTGAGGGACATTGTGCTCTCCCCGCGGGAGCCGTGAAGAGCAACTCTAGTAGAGCGAGACGCGAAGGGCGACAAGTGATCCGACCGGGTCAAGTGCTAGAGCTTGTGGTAAGCACTCCACGTGGGATAGTGACTTGCGGGTCACCACTAGCAAGAGGACAGCACGACAACCTTGGAGCTTGTCTCAACAGGGACGTAGCGTGTTGGCAAGCACGTGAACCTCGGGAGAAAATCACCGTGTCAACATTGTTCTTCCCGTTAGTTTGCAATCCCTTTACACAAGCTTGTGGTTACTTTTATATATATTGTGCTTGTGTAGTTGCTCTTGTAATTAGTTAGCTTGTATAGCTCACTAGTTACCTTCTTGCTTGTGTAGCATAGAAGTAGCTCCCTTGTGTGGCTAATTTGGTTTGTGTAACCTTGTTAGTTGCATTGCTTAGTTTGAATAGCTAAGTATTTGTACTCTCTAATTTGACATTGGTTGCCTTGTTATTGAGCATTGCTAGAGAGCTTAGGAGCTTTGTGCTTTTGCTTACTAGAATTGTGTAGGAGCTCCACAATGTATAAAATACTAGTGGCATAGGTTTGTGTGACCTTACTCCTAGAATTGGATATGTGAGCTCTAGCTAGCCCGGCACCTTTGTTGCATAATTAGGATCTTTATAAGGTGCTTGTGAACTTAGATAGAGAGGTGTAGTCTAGGCTAGACCTATTGTTTTAATTCCACACTTGTTTCGGTTAGCTCACGCGATTAAGTTTAGAAAGGACTATTCATCCTCTCTAGTCTGCCATCTCGACCTTACAGCGGCCTGGGAAAAGGGAGCTCCGGACACGCGCGGTCATGGGAGGGAAGGAGAGGTGGTCCGGCAGGCTGTGGTGGATGTGGAGCGAGCAAGCAAGGCAGCAAGCCACGGGAGCGTGCGGCTGTCCGAGGAGAAGGTGAGCGGGCGTGTGGGGGTGAGGCCGTGCGGGTAAGACCGTAAGAAGAACGGAGATTGAGCGAGTGGGCCGGTGGTTAGGCCAAATTAGATGGGCTGGACGAAAAAAGTAGCTTGAAATTTTGCTTTTTATTATTAGGTATATAGATATAGATATAGAAGAGAGAAAAGCTAGCTCTTAATCAAGAACTAAACTTTAGCACATATTTCAAGGTTACGTGAGAGTGTCATGTAGAACTACCTATGTTAAAAGCTATATGCTAAAAATTAGCACTGTTAAAAAAGTTGACTTAAAGTTAATAACTGACTCTAACCATTAGGGGTGTCCTTGGCTTCCATTTTTCCTACCGGTACTGCTACCCACCACCCTAGCACGACTACGAAAGGCAATTAAAATCTGGTGTAGTACCACGGTCCACAACGCTTGTAAATGGTACTATAAACTCCAGAACCACTCCAGAACACCCACCGGCCACCACGACTCCGACAACGTTGACAGTGCTCCAGCGAGCGAGCGGGACGGCAATAATGGCCGCTGTCCAAGAACCGTGCATCGGCAGGGGTGGCGACCTCGGCGGCGGAACGCACCGGCGCCGCCGCGTCCTAATGTTTCCGGTGCCGCTCCAGGGCCACACCAACCCGATGCTGCAGCTGGCCGACGTTCTCCACGCGCGGGGCCTCGCCGTCACCGTGCTTCACGCGACGTGTCTGAGCGCGCCGCACCCCGAGCGGCACCCGGAGTTCCAGTTCGTGCCCGTGCCCGACGGCGTTCCTGACCACGTCGCCTCGTCTGGGAACGCCCTCGATGTCCTCGACGCCATGAACGCCGCCATGGAGGCGGACGAGTCGGCGGGCCTCCGCGGCATCCTCGCGTCGGTGCTCGGCGACGAGGGGCAGCCCCCGGCCGCGTGCATCATCTTCGACGGTAACCTCCTAGCCGTGCCAAAGGCTGCCGCGGCACTGGGCCTCCCGACGCTGGTGCTCAGCACCGGGAGCGCCGCCTGCTTCCGTTGCTTGCTTGCCTACCCCATGCTTCATGAAAAAGGCTATCTGCCTCACCAAGGTGACAATTTACGTCTGCACAATGAAGTTTGCTTTTGCTTTTGGATTCTGATAATTATTTTGGAAACTTAACGCACATATTTTTGTGCTATATATCTCCCAATCTCTTAACACTTGATCAGTACTGGAATCTTTCCATTGTACACAACAAACTTTCAAAATGAAATTTGCCTAGCATTAAACAAATTTAACTTGTAAAGTTGGTTTTTGGGCCAAAATTCTAATGATTAAAGGGGCTCTTGCGTTTTTTTCTCCTGTTTTCAAGCCCAATTATAATTTTACCCTTATTTTTCTAATAACCTTGTGATTTTGCCTAAGGATGGCAGTGGGTCGGTTTGGGGCGGATATCCGTGATTTTGGGTCCGCGGGTTTCGGTTTCACGGCCTAGTTTTCGCCCATTGATTTTTAGGTTTGATACCCAAAATGTTGCGGGTTTGGGGCGGATCCAGAGATCTCAATCCGCCTTGTTGCCATCCTCAATTTTGCCTCTGCTTTTTTTTAAAACTGGAGGCGTTGTTTTCCTCTATTCTCTGTTACAAGTACTTAACGGTGTAAACTTAGCTATATAGTTTGCTCATCACAGTTGCTCCTATTTTTATGAATACTATATGTCGTTTTGCCCCTATTTTAACATTTAGAGCATTTTGATAGATACTAAAAATTTTGACAACCAAATTTGCATACATTTAAAATTTGAGCAAATTTTTGCAAACATTTAATTTGAAATGTCTGCAAGTGCACGAATAAAAAGTACAAGACCACCCATATTATTTTACCAATTCTTTGAATGTTTTCTCTGTTTTAATTCCTTTATTCCAACGCCAACTATCAAAGTTAAACTAGGGGCAAACGATTCGTTCGGGTTGTAAAAGAAAGGGCTAAATCACAAACTAAAAAGAAAACGAGGATAACATCACAATTGGTCTTCACACCGCAAGCAAGAACACCATTGCCCCATGATTAAACGAATCGTTGTGCACTAATAGACTATAGTACTAAGTGTGATTTAACTATATGCATGCTCTTGTATAGAGACGAAACTCGATATGCCGGTGAAGGAGCTGCCACCGCTGCGGGTAAGGGACCTCTTCTATACACCCCCGAGCCACCAAGAAGTAATGAAAAGAACACTTGCTCGAGTCGTTGAAGCAGTGAAGAAGTCCTCTGGTCTACTGATGGATACATTTGATGCTCTCGAAATAGCCGAGGTACAGAGGATCCGTGAAGAGCTCAACATACCTCTTGTACTCGCAGCTGGTCCTGTCAACAAGCTATCCTCTAAGAGCATAGGGAGTAGTTTGTTGGACCAAGACTTCAGTTGCATTGAGTGGCTCGACCAGCATCACCCAGAATCGGTGTTGTATGTGAGCTATGGAAGCCTGGCTTCCCTGGACTCCAATGAGTTCTTGGAGGTGGCTCGGGGTTTGGTCAACAGTGGCCATCCTTTTCTATGGGTGGTTCGGCCAGACTTGGTACGGGGTATGGATTGTCCAGATTTTCCAAATGGCTTTGAGGCTGCAGTTCATAGCAGGGGCAAGGTGATTCGATGGGCGCCGCAGCAGGAGGTGCTGGCGCACCCTGCGGTCGGTGGATTTTGACTCACAACGGATGGAACTCAACAACGTTGAGAGTATCTGTGAGGGTGTTCCAATGATGTGCAGGCCTCAATTTGCAGATCAGACGACGAACACGAGGTATGTGGTGAACACATGGGGTGTAGGGTTGGAGCTAGAAGGTGAGCTTGAAAGAGGAAACATAGAGAAGGCCATTAGGAAGCTCATGAAGGAAAGGGAGGGAGGGGAGATGAGGGGAAGAGCTAAGGAGCTTAAGAAGAAAGTGGGAGAATGTTTGAAAGATGGTGGGACTGCTCAGATCGCCATTGACAAGTTGGTGAACTACATACTTTCTATGTGATCTTTGTGTATTGCCTATATTTTTTTCGGCACCTGTAGAATAAAAATTGTATTTTATCCCAAGCATTATAATAACGAGGAGTCAAGTATATCATCTTGTATTAAAGCTGGTTTATAAGTACGTGCTAAAATGAGTTAGCATGGGCTTTCTTCACCATTTCACTAAAGAAGGAAAGTTGATAGGCGTAGCACTACGGGCTGAAGCACTGAGCCGGCAGTGTTGCCCAAACAAACATTGCCGGTTGCATCCACGGACCACTGTGATCACAGTAACAACACTGCCGGCTTGGGTGATGAACCGGCAGTGTTGTTCGACTTAACACTGCCGGCTTGGGTGATGAACTAGCAGTGTTGTTTTCCTCAACACTGTCAGTTTGTACCACGAACCGGCACTGCCTGCGTAGTTGGGAGCAGTCGCACGAAGAGTGCTTCCAAAAACCTTATTCGTCCTCTCCCATCGCAGGATCGCAAGGACGAGCATTCCGAAGACCTGCTCTCCTGACCGTCGGTGCACGCAGGTGCTCGGGATGGAGAAGTTACGGTGGCGGCGCTGCAGCGAGACGAGGAAAAAACCATAGCACAATTAGATGTGTTTTGGCGTGGCTGATAGGCTGCTTATATAGGCCTGTCCAACCCGATCTCATGTCGTAATCACGATATAAACTGTGTAGGGCTCCTACCTACAAACCTAAAGGCCAAGTAACCAAAAACTAAAACTGAAAAAAGAGACCGCGTCCCCGCAAGGCGAGGAGCTAGATTTTGGCGGATCATTCACGCTGGTGACGCGTGCTCACGCCCTTCGCCCCACCTCGGCGAGGCGAGCGAGTGCGTTTTCTATTCTACGATTCCACTTCGACAAAAGGGGCTTCCTTTCTCTTCCTCACACTAGACTTGCATTGAGGAAGTGGAGAGGACTTCCATATTTAAGCATGGCTACCTCCACTTCCACAAGCAAAGGTGGGACTAAAGAATTTCCACTCCCACTCTTTGCACACATGAATGGGCCTTTGAGATTTCTCTAGAAATTTTAAAAAAAAATTATTGGGCGAAGCCCATATATTCTAACAATCCCCCACCAGATCTCAAATGTTCATTTAGACATTTGCCTGTTCCTGTTACTGTTTGATATCCTATTGTTTCAGCACATATTGTTAAGTTGAACTTCCGCCTAGAGCTTCAAGCTACACCCATCCACAACTTGAACAATGGACTATGCCTTAAATTGTAAGTTTGTGCGAACGAGTTTCACTTAAAGTCAAATTAGTACCTAGCTGACAGTACCCTTCCTCGTGGGTGTAGCATATACGTCATACTCCCTGGTCTCTACATGGGCTTACTAGAGATCACCCAAGTCTCATAGACTGCGACGTTTTAGAGTCGGGCTCATATCACTACAAGAAATATCCACTTCTATGATGAATAGATTTCATCACTGAAGGAGCCAAATTCGTCATAATTTTAGTTTTATGACGAATTTATGACAAAACCGGTTCGTCATAGAAGTCGCATCACTCTTGCATATCTATGATGAATCTGACAAAATCGTCATAGAAGTGCTTTGATCTGTGACGAAAAACAGATCGTCGTAGAACTGTTTTGGCATGCGTGGCAGGGGGCTGCCACGCTGGTGGGCGCTTCTGTTGGAGATGCTTTCCACTAGTACATGCTATAGCCGGTTGTATTGGAGATGGTTCGGGTATGTGTCACCTTCTTATTGCACAATGTGGTAATCTCTGGTTCTTGCACGTTTTAGGTTTTTATTGGACCACGTGTCGTTTCCCTGTTGTTCCACATGGCAGTTTTCTACTAGCACACATTTCGTGTTGCCATTGGATCACGTGTCACTTCTTTATTGGACCACGTGTCGTATTTTTATTGGTCCACGTGTCTGTTTCTTATTTGACCACGCGTCACTATGATGTCCGTCCACGTGTGGTATTTTTATACATCCACGTGGCTGCGATTTCCTTCCACGTGTTGGATTTTAATAGCCCACGTGTCATGCCCTGGTCAATTCACATGTCGTGCACTGGTTTGTCCACATATCGCATTTTTATTTGATCACGTGGCCTGTCCTGGTTCTACCACATGGAGTACAATCAATTTGTCATAGAAGTAATTCAAGATCGTCACTACTGCACAGACTGACTACATAACTATTTAGGCTAGCAATCAAATAACAACAATTTACATTTCACACGTTAGCAGAAAACCACTGACAGAGTATCACCACATTAAACCGGCATATGAGTCCACACATCAAACTGGCACATGAGTCCACACATCAAACCACAAATGTTCACTGCATCAAGCCACTGGAGTTGAAGACTGAGAGTTACCAGAAGAGCTGAAGCACATGCATAGCTCATGGAGATTGTTGTACTCCTCCTATTGCCGTTTCTTGTATTCCTCAAGCTCCCTTTCAGTCTTTTCAGTCTTCCTCTTCAGTTCATCCACTTGATCGACGAGGGTAGCAGAACTTTCCTGTTTAGCAGCAAGCTATTCCCAAAGCATTATCTCCGTCGATGTCTCTGTTCTGGTGGAGCTTGTCTGGATACTAGCATTCTTTAAAAAAAGGTTGTTGCCGCTTCCCTAGGAGGGGGCCTTGCCCTGTTGGACGTAGAGGACCTTACAAACAACATCAGCACTAGTAATTGGATGCTGCCCATTAGCATCAGGTTCTGCTTGCATAGTTTCCATAGCGTCCTATGAAATTCAATCAGTAAAACATTAGGTTGAAGATAGTGTAAGAGGACTTCAATTGAAAACCCAAGAAATTGATTCATAACAAGTAATGCATAGGTATTCCTCAGCCTATTGCTGATAGAGATTACATAAGCTTCAGTAGATTTTAGTAGATTTCCGTAACACTAGGCTCTTACTAAGTTTCCTTCTTTTATGGCAATGGCTTCAATAGATTTCAAGGGAAACAAAAGAAGCTACTTACAACTGCTGCTCTTGCAGCATCTCTCAAGCCATGTTTCCTACTGGTATGGAAGTCCCTGAAGATTTCCAAAGTATTAACATCTTTATCATGTGGACCATTTTCTTCGTCAAGTCCTTGATGTTGTTCTGTTGCATTCCTCTTGTTCTCCTTCTATTCACATTGCACATGAGTTTCGGTTTATATTTATACAAAGGCAAGAGTAACAATAAAACACAACCATCACTTATAATTTTTTGCATCTGGACACCATAGGAGCAAGATCCTGTAGCCTGGTGGTACTTCACTTTTGCACGGTTTCGCTTGTTCTTCTCAGATATTTCCTATAGCTTTATTTGTGTTAGACTGTAGCACAAGTAGACCATAGCAAGACTAGATAGAAAATTGATGGGTTCACACACCTTGTTCTTAGGACTAGACCATATCTTGATAAGTTCACAGCACTGTGCATCATTCATGGACGAGACAAGAGAGGTCATACGGATCTAATTAGCAGGGACGCCATTGAAGTATGTTCTCTTCAACCTATAGCATTCCTGCCGTACCATAGACTGCATTACATTCTGTCAAGCTTTTTTTGTTGGTGAGTGAGCACTGATAACGCGCAACCTTCCCTGCATATAGTAGTGTAAATGAAAAGTAAATCTATTAAAGTTGCTCAAAGCAGAGTTGAATGTCAAGAGGGGATACCCATACATACATTTGGCCTTTCCACAAATCTTGTGCAATAGGCGGCGCCGGGCTTCTCGCCCTTGTATTCTTTCCAATGCGTCAAAATTGGTACATCCTTCCTGACTACTATACCTTCCTCTAAGGCAAACTTGGCACCTTGCACTGGATCATGTGGCCTTCTGTTCCCCTCGGCAACAGAGATGCACATCCTTGCTCCTCCTAGTGATTTGCTCATTTTGTCAAGCATAATTCCATGAGTTTGAGGCCCTAGCTTCCTCGCTCTTCCTGGCAATGGTACTACACAGTTTTCATACATTTAGATTGTTAGAAAAGTTACATGGATATCAAATAGCTAGTTCAAATTGATTGATAGACATCTGTAAGGTAATACTAACCTAGGCAACTTTCATCGTTCTACGGGTGGGGGAAGACAGGAGTTTGCTGAGAGGGCTCCTCTTCAGCAGGGCTATCATCATCTGGCCATGAGGAGTCTCTCTTAGGGCTAGGTAGGGTGCCATCTCAAACAATGTCTCCAGTCAGTTGATGAACTTGGAATTGATCCCTGGGTTCGGGTGTCGGTCGTGATGGAGAATTATGTTCACCTACTACTGCTACCTCCACTCTTTTGCCAACGGAAGACCTCCGAGTACAAAATCCATGAGCAGCCTCTTCTAGTGGTATTGACCTCACTCGCTTGGAGAGCCTTCATCCAGGACTCATGGCAGTGCTGCCTTTTGTCCTGCTAGCAGAGCCTCCTCTATGGCTTCTTCGACCCAGACACTAAAATTAGAGATACAAACTTAAGCAGGAAGCATGTACAAATTCCATTGTTATCCAAATAGTAAAGCATTGCATGGCTACCTAGCCCCCGATCCCCTCCTCCTCTGAACATAATACAAGATAGAACAAGCACCTCATCAATTGATAGGGGCACTGTCTCATCTTCTAAATCTGAATCTGTTTCATCTGTATCATCATATCCCTCAACTACCTCCCCTGGTTCAGGGATATATTCCAAATCTTCACTGTGTCTACCCTTTGTGCTTGACTTTTTTTTTGCCTTTGGAGACACAGGTTTAGGGCCCACACGTCATATTCCAAGTTCTTCCATCTTTCTATGATTCCTTGCGATTTGTGCATTCCGTGCTCATTCATAAGCAGTTAGTGGCTGCTCATCTTGATTATAAAGGCATTTATTAACTAAAGCTTTTATGGAATGTCAACACAGCAGAGCAAGAGTATGCAAATAAGCACCTAGCTAGTAACTACAGCTTATACAGAAGTCATTAATCCAATAAAGCACATGTCAGCTACACTCAACTATAGGAAATATGTAACCCCATCACTATATGCATATCCTTAGTTCAGCCAATAGAGTAGAGCAC